ATTAAATAAAGAGGCTAAGAGTGACGCGAGCAAAAACGAGGAAACTTGAACGCTCATGAAAAACGGCGCCCGAGTTTGTCATAGCTCCGCGGCTATTTGAATAGATTCATGGATTAAAAGCTTTGTTGACTATCCTGAGCGGCTGGGTGCTGGTCATACTAATAAGGGGAAGAATTCGCCAATACTTTTTTGCATAGGTTTGTTTCTTTTTTTTCCATTGTTCCTCCAGTTTCGCTTATGATGTCACCAGCTTCGGATGTGGGAGCGATTCAGCCTCACTGACAAGCTTAGCGTAAGACCTTTTAGCGAATGTGGGTCTATATTTGGGGTTTCATTACAAGCGATCGCGTGGCAGGCAATGATAATATTCACTATTTTATGAGGCATTGAATCGAACTCTAATACCAAGGAATGCAGGTCCGCAAACAATATTTATGCAGTAAGTAATAAGAGTAGAAGCAGCAATGACAACAACGGCACTAAAAGTTACGTCTACATTCGAAGATTGTGCCTTGTTCTCCGGATTTGAAGCTCTGTTTCTGTACGCCTCTTTCAATCGCAATCACAGATTTTGGCCAAGATAAAACCCATTGCTGGAAGGATGACTTCAAGAGTCATAGATGCGGCCGCCGAAAAGAAGCCTGTGAACTTCTCCGAGTGAGTTGTCAGCTTTCCGGGAAACTTTTCATTAATGTGGCATATGTATCTTTATAGGGGTCATAAAGCACCCTTAAAAATGGGTGAAAAGAAAAAAAAAGCACTGCGGAAAGCAGACATGGCTGTGAACTGCTCAGCCATGCAGCCGTGCGTGCCGCGTATAAATGCTACAAACGGTTCGCGAAGTTCCTGTTTTTTAGGTGCCCTTTTTCAAAACAGGCCAGTGTTCCCTGCGTAAAAATATGGCGTCCACATCTTTTTACGCTTCTAAAACCACAATCAGGATGATGATATGTGGGTTTTAACGTCACAAAATAACCATATAAATATGAGAGACGTCGTAGAGGAGGGCTCCGAAAAATTCGACCACCTGGGGTTCTTTAACGTGCATCCAAATCTGAGCACATAGGCCTACAGCATTTTCTCCTCCATCAAAAACGCAGCCGCCGCAACCGGGATTTGGTCCCGCGAACTGCGGGTCCGCAGCCGAGTACTTTAGCCACTAGACCACCGTGGTGGGGCGCAACCACAATCATGAACAGGTTTAAATTTGCCTAGTGTTTTTGAAGGAAAGATCACTAAAAAGGCAGCTCATTCATAAGTAGGCTGCTACAAGGCATTCGCGCGAGAATTAGAGTGCGTAATGTTTCTACAATAAGTAATTTGTATTTGACTAGTTCAACTAGGCCGTGCTAGATGGACCCAACTAACCATGGGATAACTACACCATTGAACCGCTCGCGCCATTCCTCGTATAGTAACGCCATGGTGTCCTTTTTCTGTGAATGAAACACAAATAAACAACTAGCCTCTTAACACATGTTGCAAGGCACGTGAAGGTCGTTTTCTATGGCAACTTGTTTCTTTACTAGTCATTATTAATGACATTTGTGACTTGACGTCACTGGGATCATATTAAAATGTCCCAGTCGTGGCGCATATGGTGACATGCTTTTACTTTGGTTTCTAAATCAGTAGAGCCCTACTTTTGGTAACCCTGACGCTTCCGATGCTCTCATACATTGATATTTCACTCTGAAGTACGTTTTTACTGCCCTTTAGTGTCTGTTCATGAAAGGAAATCTGGTAATCGGGTATTTTTTTGTTCAATAAAGTGCCTTTGGTGATTTATGACCGTGCATGTGAAACCAAAGCTGGAAGACGCGTATTAGGGTGCGTCACCCAGCTCAGCAAGGAATGAAAGATTTGTATGTGGCATTGATTAGAATTTATAGCAGTCTACAGCATATAATAATTTTTCACCATCTACAATGAGGAGTCATGTGCATCTATACATTTAGGTGTCAGGTGTCAGTCATTTGCATACAGTTTGCTGACGTTCGAATTCATTAAGAACACTCCCCACAAAGACTGCAATTACCAGAAGTTCATTCATATAAAGTGCATCTTAAGGAAGTAAGGGAATATCGCTCACACGATGAAACTCTTTCCTTGTTATCTGCATAGGCTTCGACGCACTCTGGTTTAAACGTGGTGGTTTGGTCTAGTTAGCCCTCCATTTCCCAGGATATTAACAGCACGATAAGAAAGGAAACGTAATCGAAGGACAAAACGAGAGAGCATAGACAACTAAAATTCATTATTTCGCCATGTAAACGTATAAGTAAAGGCATAAATCCAGAGCAGTGCTGGAGCACTGCTGCACAATAAACAATGTAAAAGAGAGCCGACAGTTTTTTTGTGGAAGAGTCATAACGTATCTTTGTTTACAGGCTTGCCAGCAACGTGGCTTTCGACACCGCAGCTGCTCTTAACTACAGTGTCGACACGTACAGTGAGGTCGACAAGGACCACACCATTATGAAGTGTCTTGAAAATATCGCCATGGGGCCCAGTGGCTGGAGAATCGTGATGATGTGTGAGTTATTGTTTTTGTGTTATTGCGACACAGCAATTATATCGATTTGATGTCGGTGGCACTCTCGCGCCGACACACACACACACACACACACACACACACACATATATAGTATATATATATATATATATATATATATATATATATATTATAATATATATATATATATATATATATATATATATATATATATATATATATATATATATATATATATATATATATATATATATATATATATATATATAGAACAAAGGGCTTGTGGATCCGGTGCAATATTCACAGAAAAGTCAAACAGACACACGTGCGAAGGAGTTTTATTAACGTTTCGCTTCGCTCGGGGTCCGAGCTTCATCAAAATGAAGTGTGTAGCAACATTGCTGTTAATATATACATGTCCATATCAAGCACAATGAAGGCACGCTAACCACAACTGTTACATAAACGTCATCGTTGAAAATGTGTGTGAACTGCTCAAGAGAATCGCTGACGCAAATGACACAGTGACGATGCTAAATGTATACACGTGTAAGAAAAAAAGTAAAATTGGAAATCTAAAAGCACTAAAATACAAAGGCACAAGAACTTCACAGTTCAATGAACAATGTAAGTACACCTATTTCCTATTAGTCAATTACAGAGACAAACAACCTAATTTGCCAGCGCATACATTTGAACCAAACGCGATGGTTTCAAACTTGTGAATTAGGAGGGATTCCTGGGCTCTCTTGTCATAATTAGATCGAAAGCCAGATTCAAGTAACGTGACCTTGAGGTTATTAAAAAAATTTTACCGTGAAGATGCACATGTTTTGATAAGGGCAGGTTGAGCAACGTGTTAGCATGATATTTTTTATTGTTAAATTGTTTCCGGAAAGGACCTCCTACTTGTCCGATGATACTGTTTGCCGCATATTGTACATTCTGGTATATAAAATTATCTTTTTGGTGTGACACTCGAAGTCACCTTCAATTTTGAAACGAAATGTTGAAGACGTACTGGCGACCTGTTGGGAAGTGCACATATGGGGACATACCTTACAACGTGGCTTGTGGCATGGATGGCATATGATGGCGTTTGGGCGGGCGATCTTAGGTAATGATGAAGATGATAGTATGTCGCGAAAGTTTCTAGTTCAGCGGTGCACTGCTCGGGGTGGTTCAGTAAAGATGTGTTTCAGGCGCTCACTTTAAATGAGAATGTTATGGTGCTTGTTAAGTATAGCCGATACACGTGGGACTGATGCACATTGGGATAGCACTAGGTTTGTCTGAGATGGCTGAGTAGGTGGCTTCACATTACAAAGAAGCGTTCTGCGGTCACATGTATCTGCGCACTGGATGGCATCGTCAACTAATTGCGGTGGATAATTTTGCTTCAACAAAGCGTTTTTAAGCGTCGCGCAATTTTGTTTTTGAAAATCGGATGGGTTAGAGCAGATTCTTTTGAAACGTAACGATTGGCTATACGGAATGCTGGTCTTGCAGTGTTTAACGTGGCTGCTGTCGAAATTCAAATATTGTTGTCGATCTGTCGGCTTTTTATACAGCGTGGTCGACAGTTTGTTGTTTCTAACGGAAAATGTCACATCAAGAATGTTAATGGTGTACGCAGAATACACACGAGAAAACGATATTGAAGGGTGGGCATTGTTAAAAGCATTTATGAATGAAAGAGGCTCCTCTTCAACATGTGGCCATGTAAGGAACACGTCGTCAATGAAGCACTTGTAATAAATTGGTTTAAACGTCTGCTTTATAAAAAACTTATTCTCCAGGTCGCCCAAGAAAATGTTTGCGTAATTTGTACCTATGCGTGTACCAAGTGACGTTCCAACGATTCGGACGTAGTGTGCATCATCAAATTAAAAGTTATCAAGATTTAAAATGAGTGTAAGTAGAGTTGCTAATGTGCTGCTGTAAATCGATTTCTCGGCCACCATTTTTTCGTGGGATTCGACGACAGCCCTGATGGCGTCAACGTGCGGAATATTACTATACAGAATCGCAACATCAAGTGTCATTGATAGAGAGCTGTAAGGAATAGTGATGTCAAGCATATCGGACAGGAAGTGAGTAGTGTCTCTCACGAAAGACGGGAATGTAGCCGGGATATCACTGATGCTTGAATCTTCAAAACTGGATAAGTTTTCCGTAACAGTACCTATACCGGAAATTATAGGACGGCCCGGATTGCCTTCCTTATGCATTTTTGGTAGCAGGTAAAATCGACCAGCTACAGGACTTAGTGGAAAGAGTGAATTAATTGGGTTGTCAGCTATATTCTTTTCTGTAATTAGGTCTAGAATAGTGCGCTTGACCAGTGACTTATGCTCTTCTGTGGGGTCATGGTCAAGTCGTTTATAAAACATGGTATTCGCTAGCTCTTTGTGGGCCTTTGGGGTATAATCAGACCTATTCATGACTACAACAGCACCACCCTTATCTTCTGACTTTATGGTAATGTCAGTGCAGGATGACAACGAATTTAGGGCCTTAAGTTCAATGGAAGAAAGATTATGGTGGCGGAAAAGGACGCGTTTTCAATATTTTCCCACAATGTCATGCTGAACAATTTTCTTCAGCTATATTTTGCTGGAGCTTAAAAATGTGCCGACATATGCAAGGGCGACGCACATGCATGTTCCTGACTGTTGTCTGAAGCGAGTCAGAGGATTTTTTGTGCTAATGATTTCCTTAATTAGGCCACTTTTAATAACTAACTTTCTAAACAATGCAAATGCGCAAGAAATTACTGTTTGAATTTTGTAGATTCTTCTGTATAACCTTTCAGAAAAATATTTTTTATAGTGCGGTATCGCAAGTGTGACTTCTTGCTCTACCACGAAAGGTCACCGTAGACCTATGTGTGTATATATGGATATTGTCGCCTTCGTTTTTTTCGCGGGACGCACGTGTCATTTGCCTCCCTCCAAAAATGGCATCGTCCCAATGTGCAGCCAAGGCACTCTACTTATAAAAACGCGCATATGCACCGGCACCCACAGGACAAATGAGAGTTGGCTGGACAAGTAGGGTTTCATCCGGATGACATGCACGATTTCGGGTGAGCAGTTTCGGCGACTGGAACTGCAATCGCCGTCGAGAATAACTTCGTAGTTGATATCGTTCAATCGTCGGGTGACTCGATATGGGCCGAAGTATCGTCGTAATAGCTTTTCTGAAAGTCCGCGTCGACGTATTGGGATCCAGACCCATACCTTGTCACCTGGTTTGTAGGTTACCAATTTATGTCGTAGGTCGTACCGTTTCGCATCTGTGTTGCTGGTGACAAATACGAACGCGGGCTAGCTGTCGGGCTTCTTCGGCGCGCTGACCAAATTCTTCGGCGTCAGCGTGAGTGTCGTCACACTCATGAGGCAGCATAGTGTCTAACGTTGTAGTGACTTCGCGCCCGTGTAATAAACTAAACGGCGTCATTCCTGTAGTTTCCTGCTGGGCAGTATTATAGGCGAAGGTCACATAAGGAAAGATTTCGTCCCAGTTCTTGTGTTCTGTGTCGCCGTACATGCAGAGCCTGTCTGCGAGGGTCTTATTAAGCCGCTCTGTTAGTCCGTTCGTTTGTGTGTGGTACGCCGTTGTTCTCCGGTGAGCTGTACCACTGAGCCTGAGAACCGACTCCAAAAGTTCTGCCACGAACGCAGTTCCTCTGTCCGTGATGAGAACTGTTGGAGCACCGTGCCGAAGGACGACGTTTTCTATGAAGAAATGAGCCGCTTCTGCAGCTGTGGCCCTCGGCATGGCTTTAGTTTCTGCGTAGCGAGACAAGTAATCGGTGGTGACAATGATCCATCTGTTCCCTGTGGTAGAAGTTGAGAATGGACCCAGGAAATCCATTCCGATTTGGGCGAATGGCTTTGCTGGTACTTGAACGGAATGTAATAAGCCTGCCGGCCTGCCGGGTGGTGCTTTGCGTGTTTGACAGTCGGCTCATGTTTGGACGTGATGTTTCACAGCAGCAGGTAGGTTCGGCCAGTAGTAACTGTTTTGCAGACGGAACAATGTTCGAGTGTAACCGAGATGACCGGAGGTGACTTCATCCACAGTGATGCAGGGACGACGAGCAAGTATAGGCTGCCGGTGGGAGAAAGGTTTTTCTTGCATAGGACATTGTTCCTTAAACAAAAAGATGGAACTCCTCTCCCAAAAGTCGCGGCACGCCTTCCCGTCGTCCTTCTAAGAAATCGATAAGCGAAAGCAGGTCAGGGTCACTGCGCTGCTCTTGTGAAATAGTGGCCGCGTCGATGACTCCCAAGAATGCGGCGTCCATATACTCGTCATTAATAGCGGCAGGCTCGACGGGTGACCGCGAGAGACAGTCTGCGTCAGTGTGCTTTTTCCCTGATTTATAAATAATGGTCATATCAAACTCCTGAAGCCGAAGGCTTCAGCGCGCTAAACGGCCGGATGGGTCTTTCAAGTTAGTGAGCCAGCAAAGCGAGTGGTGATCACTGACGACCTTGAATGAGCGGCTGTACAGATACGGTCGAAATTTGAGAACCGCCCAAACCACGGCGAGGCACTCTTTCTCGGTAGTTGAGTAGTTCTCTTCCGTGCGAGAGAGAGCTCTGCTGGCATAGGCAGACTTTCTCGGAGTTATCTTGCCATTGTATCAGTACGGCGCCCAGGCCTACATTGCATGCGTCGGTGTGAAGTGCTGTTGGCGCTTCCTGGTCAAAGTGCGCAAGAACCGGAGGTGTTTGGAGGCATTGGCGTAATTCGTTGAACCCTGTTTGTTCCTTTTCGCTCCAAAGAAAGGGGACATCCTCTCGTGTGAGCCGCGTCAGAGGTGCCGCAATAGACCAATAGTTGGCGATGAATCGTCGGTAATAAGCGCAGAGGCCTAAGAAGCGTCTCACTGCTCTTTTGTCATGCGGTGCGGGAAACTTTGTGACAGCGTCGATTTTGCCCGGGTCAGGTCGAACACCTTCGTGGCTGACCACATGGCCTAAGAAGCAAAGTTCACTGAAACCGAAATGGCACTTCTCTGACTCTAAAGTCAGGCCAGCCAAACGTATAGCTTGTAGAACTGCGAATAATCGACTTAGGTGTTCCTCGAATGTAGCTGAGAAGACGACAACGTCGTCTAGATGGACCAAGCATCTCTGCCACATCAGTCCTTATAGCACAGTGTCCATTAAACGCTGAAAAGTGGCTGGCGCTGAGCATAACCCGAATGGAAGCACTCTTAATTCATAAAGACCATCGGGCGTCACGAAAGCAGTTTTCTCACGGTCTCTCTCATCGACCTCTATTTGCCAATAGCCACTTCGCAGGTCCATCGATAAGAAATAGCGTGCATGCCGCAGACGATCAAGAGAGTCATCTATGCGTGGGAGTGGGTAGACGTCTTTCTTCGTTACTTGGTTTAACTTGCGGTAATCTATACAGAAACGCAAGCTGCCGTCTTTCTTTTTAACCAATACCACGGGGGATGCCCAGGGACTCTTGGAAGGCTGTATTACGTCATCTTGGAGCATCTTCTGAACTTGCTTTTGGATCTCCTCACGTTCTTTCGGAGCCACACGGTATGGGTTTTGACGGATCGGTCTCGTATTTTCTTCAACGATGATTCGGTGCCGGGTCAGTGGTGCTTGCTTGACTTTCGACGTGCACGAAAAACAATTTTTGAACCGGTGTATCAGCTCTAGTAGGCGCTGTTTATCAGAGGCTGACAGGGTTGAGGAAATGTTGACAGACAAAGGTGTCGAGGCTGGGATGGTCGCCTCGTGCGGTTGCAAAGCGAAGCGATCTCTGACTTGGTCCACGTAGTCGTAGTAGGCAATCGCGGTGCCCTTCTGGATGTGACGACGCTCGTTGCTGAAGTTGGTGATGAGGACTTCTGCCCGCCCATCAATTAGTGCCAGAATGCCTCTCGCTATTGAAACACCTTGCGTAAGCAACAGAGTGTCTATTCGCTCCCCTATCACCTCATTACGGCACGGCCGTTTACATAACACCGACAAAAGGCAGCAAGATCTCGGCAGGAGCATCACATCATCGGCTACACGTAAACGTTGCAGTTGTTCTTCAGTGGTGGCGTCGAACTAAGGATGGGCGGAAAAGGTGACGATACGTTATGGATTGTTGACGGCACCGTATTCTCACAGAAAATTCATACCCTGAATCCACTCTTTACAACAGTCCGATAAAATGACAAAAGTGGCGACGAAGTTCGAATCATCGATTACGAGCCGAACGGTGAATTTACCGGTTGGCGTCATTAGCTGCCCACCAGCACTCCTTATGCTCGGCCCACTCCACGGCGTCTTAACCTTTTTAAGGTGGTCGGCGAGCTCTTGTCGCATAATAGAGAAGTCAGCACCAGTGTCAACCAGTGCTGTTACGTTATGTCCGTCGATAATAACGCTGAGGTCGGCACGTACAAATTCATTGGCATTAGTACTCATGGTTGTCGTTGTCTTCGTCATCACCGTCGTCACGCCTTCTTTATGTAGAGGCAATGGGGTGGGTGTTTTTGGCGTCTCGGCGATCGGCAACCTTGCCCCCAGAGGTCGCGGCAGTTAGTTTCCCTGGCACGAGCTTGGGGAGCGGTTTCTGACGGCGTCCGCGTATCTTTGGCGATTCGGGGAATTCTGACCTCGTGCAGGTGAGGGAGACCGCCAGCGACGACTTGGTGAAGACGCTTGATTGGTCGGCAGGTGAGCAGCACCATGGTCACGAGGGTCTTCAGAATAAAAGGAAGCGGGCCGAGAAAAGTTTCCAAACCGGGTTTCTCGATGACGGCAGTAGCGCGAGATGTGACCTGGTTCGCCGCAGTGAAAACAAAGGGGTCGATGGTCGGCAGTGCGCCACAAGTCGGTCTGACGTACTCGTGGACGCCGCACAGGTTCCCGCTGCCACCACGACAAGGTAACGGGCCGTGGCTGAAAGGGTGCTTCTTCTGGGGCAGGCGGATGACGGCGGACGGCATCGGCATAGGTCAGTGGACGTGGTTCGGGTGGTGGCGCCGGTGATGGAAAGGCTTGCCATAGTTCCTGGTGCACGATTTCTGCAACAGAAGCAACTGGGGGATCGGTAGACGGAAGGCCGAGGGCCCGCAGCTCTTCCCACAGGATTTGTCGAATCATTTGCCGTAAAGAGTTTTCAGAAACGACAGCGTTTTGAGCGGCGGCACCAACAGGTGTTTGGTCGGGCAGGCGGTCAAAGTGGCGGCATCAATGCCGGAGTGCCCGCTCAATGACAGTCGCCTCTTTGATGAATTCGTCCACTGTTGTTGGCGGATTTCGTACAAGGCCGGCGAAAAGCGGTTCCTTACCTCCCCGCATCAGGTGATGAACTTTCCTTGCCTCGGGCATGTCGGGGTCAGCCCGGCGAAATAGACGGGCCCTATCCTCAGCGAACATGGCGACGCTTTCGTTCGGCTTTTGCATGCGGGCTTCAATCATCTGTTGTGCGAGATCCCGTCGGTCAGCACTCAGGAACGTCTCGAGAAGCTTTTGGCGGAAATTGTCCCAGGTTTGGAAAGTAGGCTCCCTGTTCTCGTACCATGTGCGAGCGCTAATTTTCATTGCGAAGTAGGCACGGCCAAGTTTTTCTTGCACGCTCCAAAGATTCACCACAGCGGTCCACTCGAAGTGGTCGAGCCAGTCCTCGACATCTTCATACGGTTCTCCACGGAAGACTTCGGGAACACGAGGAGTCTCAAAAGTTACCTGGTAAGGGCGAGTCGTCTGGGCCGGAAGAAGATTCGCAGACGTTGAAGGGGCCGCCATGTTGGTAACAGGAGATGCCGTCAAGAGTTCTGGACTTAGGGCTAGTAGGCGTCGGCTGAATTGTTGTACTGGAGTCGCAACAAGACGTTGAGGCTCCGGACTGGGTGTACGGTCCCAAACAACGCTTTCTTGCATGAGGTATCAGGCCCCAGCACCTCCACCAGTGTCACGACGTCAAGACAGAGGTCGTACTTGAAGACGCTGAGAAAATAGCAGCGGGTCGGTCTTTTTATTAACCGCGTGCGAGAGAGAGTTCCTCGTCTTTCTCGTTGTTGCGTTCTGCATAAAAGCGTGCAGATGCGCGTATGCGCTGTCGCCTTCGGCTTTTTCGCGGGACGCACGTGACAATATACATATATAAACAGTTTTGCTATACAACTTGTGAAGAATCGGTCAATTGTCGAATAAAAGATATTGCAATGTTATTTCCAACTTCTTCGCAGTTCTCATGCCAACTTTGTACAAGGCCTTGCAGCCCGATTATCCTCCGAAGTCAAGTACCGATGTATTCAAGGCATTTGTGTCACACGTAATTGAAGACAGGAAGTCGAAGAACAAGGTAAAGTTGTAAACCACAAAACAATTCTTTTTTACGCTGCATCACGTTTGGCGCTCTTTCGCCCGACCTACAACCATAGTCATTCTCACAGATAGCAGTATGTTTGTAGACTGTTCATGAGCTGTAGAATAGGAGGCTTAGCGACAGGAAATACAAGTTGGAGCTTACTAAACGGTTACCACAACTATGTAAGGACGTCCTGGTGGCGAATCTCCCTATGCCGTGGGTCGAGAGTCCGCGATGTAGGTAGTCGTAGTCGTAGGTAGCCACCTCCACGGCCACTTTAGAGAAGCGGCACGCGTGCACTCTTCTCAATTGAGGAGGAAATCCGTGCACGTTAATCATAAACGAAAAGATAGTTGCTTCTGATAACTTACGCGCCCTGCCTCTTCCGGCGGCTAGTGGTCGGGTGTACACGGGGGACGCGCGCATGCGTCTCTTTTCTGCGTGCCCCTAACGGCGACTGTTAAAGACTGAGACGGGCAGTAAGCTAAATATTGAGGAAGCTAAAGGCACAGATCAATTAAAAAGAGGCGCAGGGAGATTAGCCAGACAAGTGTCGATTCGCTTTGCAGCATATGGAATAAATAAATGGAGAATAGAAGAACAGGATCATTTTCGTATACATAGTTCGGTGCAAGTGCTTCTTTCTAATCATATAGCCGGTAATCGGTGTTTTATTGCATGAGTGCGTTAGCTAGTGTGATACACTTTCTAGAATCAATGCTAAATTTTATCAATGTGAAATAAGATGTGCGTCTCAGTGACACGCTGGTCAGCGTGCGTGATGCAGAAACACAATTTTCCGATATCTGATGACCTAAATTAGGTATTGTTCACCATTATGCGGTACAATCGCAACTGCGCACATGTCTTCACGTTTATAAAAACAAATACTTTATTTTCAAATAAAATCAGCTGCATGTTGATTCTGTATCCTGCCCCCTTCTTTTTTTTTCTTCCGCGTGGGTTGTGTCCTTAAAGGGAAACTCAAGTTAAATAACAGTTTACATGAATGTGAAAGCTCAATGTATGACAACGTCTTAAACGACAACATTATGAACAGCAGTGCCCGACTTACCGAGAAGTTAAGGCGAATGCACAAGAACAGATGCGCTACGCGTAGGACAATTGCACAATCATCCCGATTACGTGAGAGGTACCACATAAAATTCACCGCTAGTAATCGAACTATCAGCACTAAATAAAGAACCTTCCGTGCAAAAGACGTAATAAAATGCTGCTCGTTCGTTGTTTTTTCGATCCTTGAAAAAAAATTGGCAGCATAGCATATCCACGGAGTGAAAATTTTTGGGTCTGAGTGAAAACAGAACCCAGGCTTTTTGTGCAGAAAGCAGGTGTTTTTTCACAGACCCGCATTATTTCTTTATAGGGCTGAGGACAGAACAAAAAAAAAAAAAACGCATCATAATTATGTCATGTAGTGGAAGGAATCTCTTTAACGCATGGAACACATCATAGCAGAAGCACAGAATCAAGCCAGGCATCAAAAAAAAAAATGGCAGCATATCCACGGAGTGAATGATGGAGAGTGGGGGTGAAGAATTCGTCCGTCCATTTGTTCTTGCTTCCGTCTGTCCATGCGTCCGTCTGTGTGACCGTCCATGCGCCCATCCGCCCGTCCGTGCCTACGTCTGTTCGTGCGTCCGTTTTTGCGTTCATCCATGCATCCGCCCCGGCGTCCGTTCATGCGTCCATCCACGCATCTGTCTGTGTGTCCGTTCGTCCATCTATTCAATACTCCAAGTACCACCATCTCGCATCTTTTCATTATATATTCCCCATATAGAAGCACCGCCATCCAACGGACATTCCAAAAACTAAACGAGAGGTGGCACACGCACACTTTCTTACGGCTTGCGCTACGGGTCTACTTCCCACCTTTTACCCACTCGAGTTCATGGTATATCCTAGTTCACTGTATACATGGTACTGCGGTCCAACGCTCGCTAAACCTTACTAAAACCAAGGAGGTTACACCCAGCGAGTATAACGTAGCAACCCTTTCTTGTCAGATAGTGCTCAATGTACAAGCCAATGGCTGCTAAAGGAGATCGCTGCGTGCGCGTTAACTAAAAGCAGAATGCTCCTGTCTCTCATTCCCCATTAGCAGCCATGGGGATGTGCATTGAGCACTATTTTTATTGTTCAACAATGCACAGAAGAAATCTCTCACCGGCACCACCTTGAAGGTCAAAATGTTATACTTGTTACATACTACAACGGCTACGAGGGATGAGCGGGTGCCGCTATAAGGAGCTTCGCCCCTAAAACTATGGGCCATCTCCCCGCAAGAGAACCCTGATGAGATGCGAGGCAGCAGAAGAGCGCATGGCGTTAATCCGGTTGAAAGGGGCGTCGACGCGGGTGCTGGAAGAACGTTTGAAGCGAAACTCGATGTAGCGTTTACTCGAGTAAACGTTTGTTTAAAACACAAAGACACGGGAGGAGAGACGCGTTAAAAACGCTTGCGCTTGGCTTCCTTGGCTCACGTCTCGTCGGTGTTACCCTCGCGCCATCTGCATTCTCGAATGCGATCGTTGTTCTTGACTAGCACCTCGTAGGTGTCGCTGGTCTTCCACTGCCGACGCGTGCGTTCGGCTTCCCTGGCTCGCACCTCGTCGGTGTTGACGTCGTCATTCGTGAACGCGATCGGCTTCGCTAACGCTCGCAACGCAGGCAACGGCCGCGAAAGGTACGCGCACTCTCGCGGGAAGCATACCACGATGGCGTTCCGCACGTCGGCGTGATCGCGTGGCAAGCAGCGGCGCACTGTCCACGTTGTCGGCACCACGAGATTCTCGAGAGCTCGCCTCTTCTTCTCGCCGACAGATGGAGAGAGGTGGCGCGGGTGATAGGATGATATGATGCCCATGTAAGGAGTGGGCTCGAGCATTGCGAGTGGTGGAAAGGGTAAAGAAAGGGAGAGCGCTGACACGTGGCAGGCGAGGGAGAGAGACGTCACCGCGCACTGCTATAAGGATGAGAACTACTTGGCACCGCTACACTTGTGGCTACGGGAGTGGTGTGGACGGAGGGACAGCGTTGAACAGGCTAGTCAAAGAGCTGCTTCGCATCTAAAAGAGCCGCCGGATCTTACTATGTAGAAGGGCGAGAGTGGTTCAATAGTTCAATTTTCGCCTTGTTAAACATGAGAGATCGTGCCACCAAGCGGGGCCCTGTGGATGGATGGATGGATGGATGGATAGATGGATGGATGGATATGGCTGTACCCTTTAGATCGGGCGGTGGCTAGCGTCACCAAGCCGTAATACTTAATGAACCCAAAACTATATTTATTTTTTTTCCTTAAAAAGTGAGTTTGAGGATTCGTACTTTGCAGTGAAGAGTTTAATTTTCACTCGTGCCTTGACTTTAGCCACCAATCAGATAACCTCCTTCTAGTTAAGTCTACTTGCTTCAAGTCTATTTTGCCCTCCCGGTCCCTAAACCCCAGTGCTTTGAAAAACTCTGCGCCATCATCCTGAACTATAGGGTGAAGCCTTTAACAGAATATTATCAAGTGTTCGGCAGTTTTTTCTTCTTCTCCACACGCACTGCCTACCGTGTCTACCCCTTCGTATTTGGCCCGATATGTCTTTGTTCGCAATACTCCCGTCCTGGCCTCAAACAGTAGAGAACTATTCCGAGTATTATCATAGATCCTTTCCTTGGCTGTTTCCTGCTTAAAAGTTTCATAGATCTCTAGTGAGGACTTCTTAATCATGCCCATTCTCCACATGTAAGTCTCCGTTTCCTTCACTTTCTTCTTAACCGATAGTTCTTTTTTGTTTGGCCACCTGCTGTTTTCCAAGTATTTACCCGTCAACTTCCTAGTTCACTTCCTCCATTTTGTGTCGACATTCTTCATGCACAAGTAGCTGAATACCTTCCTAGCCCAACGCTCCTCCCCCATTTCTCTCAATCGCTTCTAAAATTTTATCTTGCTGCTAGCTTCCCTGCCCTCAAATGATGTCCATTCCATATCACCTTGTACTCCCTGATTTGGTGTATTCCCGTGAGCTCCTAAAGCAAGCCTACCTATTCCACGTTACTTAATTTCTAATCTTGCTTGAACTTCTGATCTCATGCACATGACCGCATTGCCGAACGTCAGCCCAGGAACCATGACCCTTTTCCATATTCCTCTCACAACATCATACCTATTGTCAATCCACAGTGCCCTATTTTTCATCACTGCTGCATTCCTGTTACCTTTAGTCGTCACGTATATTTCGTGTTCCCTCAGGTACTCGGTCCCATTGCTTATCCACACGCCCAGATATTTGTATTTATCTGTTATCTCTAGCGTGACCTTCTGTATCCTAAGCTCACTACCTTCGTTGTCATTGAAAATCAAGACTGCTGATTTTTTTTACTGAGTCTAAAATCTAACCTATATCCCTCATTACCGCAGATGTCCATCAATCTCTGCAAATCTTCCTTGTTGTTGGCCATTAGCACTATATCATCTGCGTACATTAATGCTAGTAGTGCCTGATCAATAAGTTTTCCTTGTTTGACTAAAGAGAGGTTGAAGCCCAGCCCACTTCCCTCTAATTTTGCCTCTAATCCTTGTAGGTACATCATGAATAGTAAGGGTGACAGGGGGCACCCCTGCCTAAGCCCCCGTTTTACCTCTGCAGGCTTGGATACCTGTTTTTCCCTCCGTATAACTACCTTGTTACCTTTATAGATACCCATTAAAAGATTAGTGACTACATGGTCCACGCCTAGTGTCCAGTATTCCCCACAATTCCTCTTGATCGACGCTATCCTACGCTCCCTTGATATCCAAGAATGCTAGCCACAGGGGCCTGTGTTCCTTTTCTGCTATTTCGATGCACTGCGTCAGTGAGAACAGATTGTCTTCCAACTTCCTGTTTTTCCAAAACCCATTCTGCAGTTCCCTTAGCACCCCCTCATCTTCTATCCATGCCTGCAGTCTTTCCTTTATAATCTGCATCGTCCGCCTGTAGACCACTGATGTCACTGTTATAGGATGGTAGTTGTCTATGTCAGCTTTGTCCCCCTTTCCTTTATAGATCATGCTCATCCTGCTAAGTTTCCATCCATCGGGAACTTCACCATCGATTATTATTTTGCTCACTGCCTCTCTCAAAGCCTGCTTAGACTTCGGACCTAATGTCTTTATCAGCCTAATTGGAATGCCATCTGGGCCTGTTGATGTACTACTACCTGTTGAACCAGGCAAGCCTGCCATCTGGAGGCCAATGGCAGAAAATCGTTCAATGGCCATTGTAGCTGCTGTGGCTCCCCCTGCTTTCATTCTGCGGCTACTAGTAAAGGCGGCCGCGCACTAAAGCCGGACAACGTTGTGCTTGGCAACAGTGCTTGACACGTTCCACTTGAGGCGGGTAATAAATGTGCGCTAACCAATGGGGACCACTAAAGCGTCATTTTATTTCAAAACAAGCACTTCCTTGGTACAAAAGTAACTATACGAGGTTTCTGGACCGCTATTTCAATAATCAACGTCGACGTAATAGTTGCCTTTAGTACCCCTACAACATTTCTGCGCGGCGGTACACGAAGTTTATTTGTCCTGCCGGAGTATCACTGAACATTTTGGCACCGTCCCTCAAGCTTATAACTTATCTGTTTGCAGGAAGAAGACGACTTTCTTCAGGTTTTTATGAATGCTGACTACAACTGGGAATATGACGCAGCGAAAAAGTCCGAGAGATCCGAAATAAAGAGTAAGTTTTGCTAGTCTCAAAATAGGTCACGCTGCACTACTTGCGGAACGATGGAGACATTCTATAGTACAAGCAGCAGCAAGTGGCTTCAGAAGTCCCAGTTTGTTAAAATCGTGACAATCGCCTATTGTACTGCTAGCACTGTCTTCTCCAGGTCAATGACTTTCAAGGCCACTGAAGAACTGTCGTAACCCTCTCCAAGTGGGCTGAACCCTGCAACGTGCGGCAGCCATATGTTGTATATAATTACCTTTCCTTTGTTTTAATTATGACGATTGCAATGTGGCTCAAGTGTACTACCATATAAGTGTTTTTTTTTCAAGGTAGGAATACGAACTACTGGTTTTGCTTTTTTTACTGATATTTCTCCAGAACGTTTCCCCTTTATTGTTGATTAAACTTGCGTTTTCCTAAACGGAATGTGAAAGTGGTTCGTGCACCATCGCCCAATTAGGCAGAGACTGCTGCGCCGCGCGGCGCACGAGCCACCCCCACATAGAAACGGCTGCTGCGCCGCATGGAAGTGACGTCATGCGTTTTCCGGTTAGGCGCTTTGTTTGAATAGCCGGGAGTGTCTAGCGGTACGTCTAAACATAACGATAAAAGCCATTAAAATTACGTCCAAAAAAAAAAGTGAACAAAAAATGTTAGTTAGGTTTAGCGTGACAACAATACAAAACCGGCTTGTTTGCCACCTCAAACTGATCGGCAGCTGTGGCGTAGTTGGTTGAAGAAACACATCAACTAGTGAGGTTGGTGGTTCAAGTCTCATTGCACTTATCGACACTATCTCTTTTTTTATTCACACATGTATTGTATTAACATTTTCGCCTCCTCATCAGCCCGACTTGCTGCTGGTGGTGGTCCCGTTCACAGGCCCTTTAATATTGGATCTTCGATGACTGTTGCCAGATTGACTATATTTATTATGATAAAGTGTTTTGCGAATTAGTGCTCTTAATCGGCGAGATGCAAAACGACACAAAAAACTTGAATGCAGCTGGGTGCAGTGATTTCTTCTGCACAGGTGTCAGGATTGTTGATTTCCACGGTTTATCAAAGTTTTGATGACAGAAAGGTGCACTGCAACGTAGTCTCGGGCAACTTTTTTTATGTCGCTCAGTGTACCATCACCTGACGAGGTAACCGGCAGGCCTCTTTTTTAAAAATACTGACGTGTTATCGCAATGTTCTAGGCGATCAGCACTTGATAAACGATGCCCAAGGGCAAGTGCCGACGGCGTTAGCCCATCAACTGCCTGTCTGCCTTGCTGAATAACACGCACGGCCTGTGACAGCATGGGAGCATTCACGTAGCAACGGATGAGAATGGCCGTACGTGTTCGCACTTGACAAAACAGCCGGCAATGCAGTAGCTCTGGCCTTCGGAGATCACAGGCTTCGTAAGAACATTACAGTAAAGTAGTTTTCATCGATCGGTTGAACATTTCGCCGACGCACTGGGGTTTCACGCATGTGCGTCCGGTCAGTCACACGTGAACTGTGCCAAAGTATTTATTTCATCGTCGACCTTGTCCTTCGCGACAAGCAAAACTCGGCAGCAAGAACACTTTCACGTGTGACAACACCACGCTTGGCATTGCAATCTAGAAAATGCAGTACGTCCAACAACTGTAATCCGCACATCATACTGAGAAACTTTATGGCGCACACACTCAGATGAAGCTGTGGCGCGGTGGACGGCTACGCTAGCTCAAACCACCAGGTTCTACTAAGCATCCAGCAATCACATGAAGTAGCGACGACACTCCAGTCCTCCTTGGCACTGGCCTTGGCCATGGCCACGATTTCATCGGAGTTTTCACCACCTAGACACATCGCAGGTGGCTACCATCTCGCAATGTTTACCTTTCGCAGCCACAGCGCCCATGCGCCTCCTGTATTTAAACTAATTGTAATATGTATTTAAACAACAAACCTAAGCTGATTGACTCGTTAAACACCTGATTAGTAAAAGTTTTGTAGGTTTAACGCATTACACAAGAATAATTTACACATTTAACTAGCTTTAGGTAATAATTTTTAAAGTGACGTCACTTTCGTGTGGTGCAGAAGCGACTTTTGTGTAGGGTTGGCTGCTGCGCTGCGCGGTGCAGAAGATGCTGCCAATTGCTTTTGACCTGTCTTTATCCTTTCCACCTTCAAATCAGATGTTATAATTTTGCTGATCGCCAGCCTTTACTATTTTCTATATTTCTCACAGTAGCTGAGATGTAGTCTTCAGCGAGTTTTGTGAAGTTGTATCTCCTAGAAGAGATAGTCACGTAGTGATGCAGCGAAGCTGTGCCGACGCCGAGGTGGCGCACGGAGAGGGTTATTCAGTCGCTCGGCGTAGTGGTGGCGCCATCTCTCGCACTCTACCGAAGTCAGGCCCGTGTTTCTGATATATTTTGCTGATTTAAAGCAAATCATTGCGATTTATTTTTGTCCTTTCCGTTAAATCAATAATTTAAACATTTGTTAATTTTAACCATTGTTGGGGCATTGCTAGCCTTGTTATGACTGCTGTTGTTGACTGTCGTTGAGCGCTTCACAGCAAGCGCGATCACGTCACATCAGATAGCTCGATGAGAAGCCGAGGCCCTAAAGTCGGTTACAGCCTAAGAATAAATGCAAGCTCCGCCAACAACGACCATCGTCTCACCCAGGCACAGTTTTCATCAATTTCCCACTAAATGCAGTCGTCTATTTACATGACGGCAGGACCTCTAACGTATTTCAAGGATATAACGTAGACGTACACACACACATGCTCATTTCGCTCGCTTTCGGTCAAAAATTTTAACTTTTTGGCTGAGTTCATAAAGACTCTGATTTCACTTCTCAACCAAGCGTAACATTTTAACAAGAAACGTTCAATTGATAATAAGCTTAGTATTTGCATTATTAGCGAAAAAGTGGTTATGGTTCGAACGGAAATTGCTAATAACTGTTCTGCTGCTGCACAGGTGAAGGACAGGCGCACTGCAGTACTGGGGGCGGGGCGCACATTAATTGTTAGGTTGTAAACATGTTTTTTCAGAAATGTCACTGGACGAAATGACCGCCCAAATTATATTGTTCTTCATGGCTGGAGTGGACAGTGTGCCTAACGCCCTCACCGTTACCGCTTACTACCTGGCCCTTAATCCTGAAAGTCAAGACAAAGTCATTGCAGAGGTAGACAAGGCACTTGCAAAGGTATGAAATGAATAGAACCTTGATGTCACACAGCTAAAATATCAGTGCCAGAGCAGTTTTAACAGTGAAGCATTTTAGATGATGGTTGGGTCGTCGAGCGTTCGCACGAAAACCTCGCGTAGCCATGACGTCACTATGAGTCACTAGCAACGCACAAGGGAAAAGAAAGGTGGTAGAGAGGTAAAGTAAGGAAGGGGATCGTAACAAATAAATACAATATACATTTCTCCGTGACGTGGGCTGCGAACCCAGACTCACGCTGTGAGAAGACAACGGTCGTTACCACATGGCTATGCAGGCACGCTGGAAGAACAATTATTTATGGGGACCATATATTTTGCAATGCTATGGCTGAAAGAACGACATACGATAAGAAGAAAGGAAGAGAAACGCAGAGACAACTAAATTGGGAGACTTTCAAGCTTCGCCTTTAAGAGCTTAACGCGATAGCGCTATTCCGTTCTTAGGGCGTACTTCGAACACTTAGTGTATGAAATCTTTTAGAAATCGCTATGCACCAACTACTTGCCCTTAAATGAGTAGTAACGTGAGTGCCCTTTGTAGTGGGTGTCTGGCTTTGAGCTACAAAGTCGTTATGATAATCCCATGTTCCGGCGCCCAGTGGCCATGCGCGTTTGTAGGACGAATTCTTGCAGAAATATTTCATCTTGTATTGTGGATCATGTATACAGAACGCGAGCGTTTATAAAGCATATAGAAGTTACTTTCACTACATTTCCAAAAAGAGGAAGTTATTTTTCACTGCATTCACAATAGAGGACCTGGCTATGTGGGAGAACGCCTGTTCGCCACACAAACGACCCGGAATTAATCTCTCATGTAGATCTTCGGTTTTTTTATTTTTTATTTGCATCTTTCTCGATTTTTCGGTGGCGCAAAGATGATCATTTTTCACTCACAACTAACGACACCGACACCGACGCCGAAATATCTGCGAAACGAGCTCTTTATACCGCTATCGCGTTAAAACAATAGAAGTGTGGGCAAGCTAATACGGCTTAAGACCTGCCATCTATGAAACATACACAGGTATACACTAACTGGCATCTCTCTTGCTTTCAGGATGGACTCACATACAATTCTCTGCAGGAGGTGCAGTATCTCGACGCTTGCATCAAGGAGGCCATGAGACTTTGCATTCCCGATTCAATGTAAGCGTCGTCATAATTATCTTAGTCAGCGTGCTTGCATGGTTTCACGACTTCACCACGCGAAGAGAAGAAAACACGTAATTATGATAAGCTATGCCTGAGTATACGCCATGCTACAGAGCATTAGAATACAAATAACAAAACAATATATAGGAAGATCTCACTCCAACTGTTGTTTAAGACCGCGATACGTACTTGTTTAACGTAAAGAGAGAATCGAAAACCTGATCACTCAGTCATGATTACACGCCTGCCCATTTATTTTATTGATTTATTGATTCATATGTGGGGTTTAACGTCCCAAAACCACCACATGATCTGGTGAGACGCCGTAGTGGAGGGCTCCGGAAATTTCGACCCCCTGTGGTTCTTTATTAACGTGCACCCAAATCTGAGCCCACTGGCCTCAGCATTTTCGCCTCCATCGAAAATACAGCCGCTGCCACCGGGACTCGATCTCGTGACCTGCGGGTCACCAAGCGAGTACCTTAGCCACTAGACCACCGTGGCGGGGCGTGTCCATTTAGTTATAGAGCATGATTTATTCTTTCAGCGCATGCTTAGCGCATGCCATACAGCTGGTTCATATTGACGCAATAGCCTTGAAGAGCTCGTGTTGCAGATATTTCGATGTCGGTCTTATTTGTTGCGAGTGAAAAATTGAGAAACATGCAAGTGAATGACAGAAAAAAATCAGCAGATCCGACGCACCTTGGGAATCGACGTTATGCGAAACATACGGATGGAAGGTGACTGTGTTTTAATTTTTTTATTCTGCGAAACATTACAAAGTGGCGCTATAGATATGCACAATTGCATGCAGTGACATACCTTAATTAGCTGCATATGTTTTATACAACCAGTTGTGTACAGTTGCGTAACAGTGCCAACAGTTACATGGATACTCGCAACATCAAAAACGGTAAGCTGATATGCAGCCATGGTGCTCGCAAGGATGGTAGCCCTGTACATAAATCAACTTCAGCGAATGGCGCCTGACAACTCATATTACTCGACGTGACGGTTGTATTAAAGGAGTACATATTTAATGTTTATAAAATTGGATAGCCAACCTTGCAACCACAAATGACGTTTCAAGAAGATTAGGGTCTATTTGAAAAGTAGTTCCGAGACCTGGCGTGACTCTGCAGTAGAATAATTGATTACCACGCTGAATACTGCGGTTAGATTCCTGCTGGGACCCTGACATTTATTCTTAATATTCATCGGATCAACGCTGGCGATGTCAGTTTTTTTTTAACGCTCCCGCGTTAAAGTTGCCCGCTTGTGTTGTCACCGTTCCGGCGTATATATAAACTGCCAATCACCTGTGGCCCATACCCGCATACCAGTAGCACGTACTCACCTTCAGGTATGTGCCACTGACTGGTGGAGAGTGTTTGACCACGTGCGTGATACGTTTGTTAAATTATTCGTGTCATGACCGGCAAGTTGTATTTGCAAAACCATCTTACCCTCAAATAAATTTTGGTTTAGCCCAATTTCTTGGTGTGATCAAGAAAGCAACACACGTAAGGTGATAGATAGATAGATAGATAGATAGATAGATAGATAGATAGATAGATAGATAGATAGATAGATAGATAGATAGATGTTCAAAGTGCCTGGAGTAAGCAAAGAAATCCTTCGGATTTAGAAAACGTCGGCTCAAATCCTAACACAATCTGGGCTACCTGCGTGGCAAGAAGGCGTTCTACCGCATAAGCACGTCGTTGCTTCTTCCATGTCTCTTTTGATTCAGAGCAGACCATCGCTTGAAACTGACTGGGAAAAGGGCTCTATATGAATGTCATGCAGTGGCAGGAGTCTTTGTAACGCATGCAATGATACGCAGTGGCAGCGTATAAACGCACCAGACATCAATACATGGGAATTGCGCAATGAGGGGGTGTTTCAAAGGTTCGCCCATAACGAAGCAAATGGGCACAAATAATCTTCATTATCAGCAACACCATTAGCGAAGTGTACAAGCTGCGCAGGTGTGCGTGGTACCCAAAGGAGCGCCGCAACGCTTTTCGAGCTTGGTAATAAAGTGCGGCCGATCGGTAGTCCAGGCTCCCGAGAACACGCAAGCCAAACATCATAGCGCAGCACGCAGCTTAGAATTCGCAATAAATTTTGAGTCAGCTAAATAAACTAAATCTTGCCCAATTCTCCTGGCATTCGTAAGCATTCCTCGCAATAGGCTATAATACACCGCGGACAATAAATGTTCTGAAACTTCATTGACGTTATCGCCGGAAATCGCGGCATATCCCCGAAGTTAAGGAAGAATAGTGGTCGAAGCAGTGACATCGGTTGGTGTTAATGAAAATCATTCTTATCATTGACCACTCAAGCATGTGAAGGAGTGAGAAAGTGGTGTGATTACATTTTCCATGGAGGCGAAAATGCTGTAGGCCTGTGTGCTCAGATTTGGATGCACGTTAAAGAACCCCAGGTGGTCGACATTTCCGCAGTCCTCCACTACGGCGTCTCTCATAATCATATCGTTCTTTTGGGACGTTAGACCTCCCAAATCAATTCAAAAAGTGGAGTGCAGTTATAAACACGGCCTGTCCGCAAAGTGAATGATGATGCGTGAGCCAAGGAGTGAGATCGCTTGGTGAGAAAGAGAAGGGAAAGGTGGAGAGGTTCACCAGAGCTGAGCCCGGTAGGCTACCTTACACTGGGGCATCCCTCCCTGCAGAGCCGTGCTCCCAGCTGGGGCTGCAGAAGTTGCATCTTTTACTTTCCTCAACCTCATTCTCTCTCACTGCGGCACTTTAGTCGGGACGGCTATTCGAAAACGTGTTGCAGGACTCCTTTAAAGACGCATAGCAGGCACTTCTCAACAGTACTTACTTAGATGTGTGCCACAGTTTCAAGGTTCGACAACACTTTATTCGAAGTATTAGGTCATAGTGGGTCATTTGATTATATAAAATAGCTTTAAATGAAATGAAGCTGAGGAATGTCACAAAATAAAATGGCGTAGCAAAACAGCTGTTTGGGTGTGCCAAAAGTAAAATGAAGCACGTGAGCTGTGGCCAAGGTCCGCGAAAGTGAATGACAGCCTGCTCCACTAGAAAAGTGGTTGTTTATTTTTATTTGGGTGTGTGCCAAAAGGCAGTGTCGTCATTTCTGTACTGATATACATAACCACCTTTTTCGAGGAGTGCGCTGGCATTCATTTTTTAGTTGCTCAGCCACCGCTCATGTTCCCCGTATTACTTTTAGAGCACCTGTTTTGAACTTCTACATTAGAACAAGAAAGGACCGCAGAGTGACAATCGTTTTTTTCATCATTGTTATTATTTTGATGCCCCTGTTTCCCGCTCCTGAACTTACGTGCAATAAGAAAGCATGTCATACCTATAAATGCATTCAAACAACCTAAATGACAGAATGATTTATAAGAAGATCTATTGCATTCGGTAATCATTTTTCTAACATTCTGCTGCAGACTCTTGAGGGTCTGTACGGAGGAAACTATGGTGGCGGGCATCCACTTCAAGCCAGGCATGTGCGTGGAGATTCCTGTCGCTGGAATCCACTACGACCCGGAATATTTTCCTGAACCAGAAAATTTCAATCCTGACCGGTGCGTCGTCGTCGTGACACACACACACACACACACACACACACACACACACACACACACACACACACACACACACACACACACACACACACACACACACGCACACGCACACGCACACGCACACACACACACACACACACACACACAAACACACACACAAACGCACGCACATGGATGTGCAAGTATTATCATCCGTAGTACGCGTGCGCCACAGTTATCTTATCTGTTCCGTAGTTATAAGGTAGTTTGTTCACTGGTGACGTCATTTTTAATCATCGCATTTCGGCCTGTAAGAGTGCCTTCTCTTTTTAACGTAATTACGCTGCTCTAGCGCGCATTAAAGAAAATTGAAACAGCGTGGGTATTGAACAAAAAGGAAGTTGGTTATCTTACTTATACGAAAACTGTGTAGAATAGTGCTTTCTAGTTTTCATTTTATTTTTAATTTAGTCATCTGTTGGAGTTCATCCACGTTGGCTGTCCAATTTTCTTAAGCGCAGTTCAGTTTTTTATTGCATAGGTGTTTTCTTTCCTAATTGAAAATGAGTATAAAGCGAACGCTTGAGCTTGTCCGGTTTCTTTTTGTCCGTTCGTGTTTTTTACCACGCAATTAGAAATTTCCTGAGTACTAACTTACCCAAAGACGCACGTTAATCGGTTGTACTTTACTCCTGCTCACAGGTTCATGCCGGAAAACAAGGATTCCATAAGGCCATTCACTTACATGCCTTTCGGTGCCGGACCTCGCAACTGCGTCGGCATGCGCCTCGGCTTCCTTCAGGTGAAGGCAACTCTCGCGTGTCTGCTTCAGCACGTTAGATTGGAGACCTGCCCAGGAACAATGGTACGTATTAAACGTCAGCCCACACAAGTTCTACTGAATTTTCATGCTCAGTCAGCCCTATAACGCCCGCAACAGTCCTAAATTGAAATGGTCATTGCCAAAAGACCACAAACAAGAATATATAAATTCATGTCAAGGACATAATTACAATAATAAACATAATATGAGAAGGGTAAAAATTGGGAGGATGGAAGAGAAGTCAAGCGTAAGATTACACTGCCTAGGTACGGAAAAGACAGCGTGAGAAATTATAGAATCTACGTTAAGGAAGTTCAGAATTGAGCAACTGTTACTTGCCGGGAATGTGTGAACACGCAAGCTACCAAAAAAACCCGTCATTACAACTCTTCACTCAAAGATTTATCAATGCGTGACATCAAAACTAAAATGTATCAAAATAGTAGCATGTTCATATGGTCTGGGCGGTACATAACTAAACTACAAAAAACAAGGAATTCGTTGCAGTAAGACGAATACAAGAGGATCGTTTGTCCTTTTCATTGTTTATTTCCTAACGTTGTTTTTATTCAACGATAGTGTATAAAAGTGTTGCTGGTGTGTTTAGTCACGTGTGAAGCTTGAGGCCTCCGGCAGTGCGCTATTCCTATTATCAGCCTGCGGAGGTGTATCGTAGACTTCTGCAGTTGCCGTTTTATAGTGCGATGCCTGCAGGTTCGCTAATTGTTGACGATAGTTGTGCTCACAAGAATTCAGTTTTTCTGTTTTTGTGTATCGAACCGTGTTGCCTCATAAAGCTTCGTGAACTATGGTACCATCAATTAGCGAAACAGCAACGAGAGATGGCTATGCAAATTTGTTTTATTGGAACTAGTGGTTCACAAATGTCAGGTTTTTACAAATAAGCAAGCAGGACCGCTGTTCCTAATATCGTTAAGCTTGACTTAATAACGCGATATATGTTCACTGTAGTCGTGGGAGTTTTGACTTGAGTTAGCGTATAAACTTGCTCAGCGTGTCAAAGCTGTTGCTCTTCACAATACGCTTGGAGCTGATCAAATTGCTGGTGGTAACGAATGAACCGTTAATGTTAGAGGGCTGCACATAATAAAAAGACAGCATTCTTTAGACCGCCATGTCTATCCCCTTGTCTATTTTCTCCTGCTTGCTGCCAGTCCCCCTCAAATGAGTTCTGTCATCTTCTTCCTCAAATAAGCTTCCGCCACTCTTTCCAACCTTGTTTTCATCCCTCCTGTGATGATATTTAAAAACACTAGCTATAGAAGCTGATTCGACGGTGCTATGGGGGTCCACATAGCCAGTAGGTTTTTTGTCGGCTTGCTGTGTTCACCACAGAGAGCCCCTCGGTGATTCGTGCACGAGCTCGGTAATCCTTTTCTCACCAGCACGTAGCCCACACCTCTTTTCTTCCATCCGCTGTATTCTGTTTTAACTGGGTGGTGTTAAAAAGCTTCTTTCCCAGAAATTCAGACAAAGGTGCTGCCGTTGGAGTCAGCGTCGGCGTCGTCAGTAGTGAGCGAAAAATTGTCTGCAACTAAAAAAATTTAGTATGAGAAGAAAATAAATAATAAAGCTTTTCTGGTCCGAGTGAAGGTCAAACTCGGGCCTCCTCTGTGGCAAGCAGGTATTCTACCACACAGCCAAAATACTTGTTGAAACTCTATTGAAAAAAAAACAGGGTATGAATGTCATGTACTGGAAGAGTCTTCTTAACGCGTTATGAGTCGCGTGGTAAAAGCGTACAATCGTGCTAAGTACCAAATCATGTAAATTGAGGAACGAGTGGGTGTTTCGAAAAGCCATGCGTTACAAAATGCTGCGACATGTTTAATCAGCATAAGCAGCGGAACCGACTACAGAGTGAATAGCTGTGTAGGTTCACATACTGCCCTACACGGACGCGTAGTGAGCCCTTCACTTATTTGCAAAAGGAATATTTGTGACGCAGTGGTCACCTAACAGATGCGCTTGCAGTAAGCATGGAGCTTTGAAACGGCTGATGTCTGTTTCCTGGCGGCATGGTTAGGGAATGCACTGAGACCTGACGCAGGCCTGTGATTGAAAAGGCGACGCGCCCAAGACTCGATTATGCTATGGCGATCTGCTCTTGATTTTTTTTTGTCCAAGCTCTATTTCCTCCCCTTCTGGCACTTCACTCGCTTCGGCTATTCTCACGTCTATTAGGCGGATCATCGCGTCCACTCCTGAGGTCTCGTCAGCTCGCAAATAGGTAGGGCTTCTCGTAGCACCGAACTGTAGTGTGCCTTCCAGAGCCGTTGTATGGGACCGGTTAAGACGAGCTACTGAAGCTTCAAAGCAGGATTTCCATCCTCCTGGGAAGTTCGAATACATACGTATGTACTACTTGATGTCACGAATAGCTCGCTCCTTAACCCATTAGCAGAGGGATGGCACAGCTCAGTAAACCTGAGCGTAATTCCTCGCCGCTTGGCCCGTTCATTGCGTTTCTATACGACGTAAGGCTGGTCCACTGTCTTACCAATACCATAACATTGTCAGACATCTCGCGGTTCAGAAAGGACATAACACTGTTGGCGTCCGCCTTTATAGATTTGGCTGCCATCATCGTTGTGTACTTATCGACGAACAGCAGTAAAGCTGAAACTTTCCTTCTCTCTCAGATTTTCTCGTAGTTCAGCGAAATTTATATGAATCTAATCGAATGGTGCAGTAGAGCGTTTTCGTAATATATACCACCTGTTGGGTTTGGCTGTTTAAACTTTACCTAGCCTTAACTTATGAGAAAACTGATTTCAACCTATTTCCTACTTTGTTGATGTCACATTTATGACACGTTCGCACGTATCTTTTTGTGTCTTGTTTCATGCCGACCAATATGTGCCGTTCACTTCAACTTGTATATGAGGCAAACTTGACGAAACAAGTTGGGTGGTTTCATGCGTCGTACGGATGAGTTTAAAATTATTTTGTGCTACAACGTTGCATTCAAAGCCTACTCTTCTGTGCAAAAGTTGTGCTTCCTCCGACGTCATAACTGACGCCTGCAAAAGCCAAGGAGTACTTTTCACCCCAGTGGCTATCTGAAAACGATTGTTGGCGTATCTGAAATATGTTGTTTACTTTTGAAGCCTCCTTCAGTCTTGGGTTACTATAATCAGCTCAGTGGTTGGCGAGCAACTTTGGCCGTTCTCGGAGAGTGAGTTAAAATCTGTCGTTCTAAATCCCTACGTAAGCCGTGTATGATAACAAACCAAAAAGACAAGGCCGACGATCTATAGGTTCACCTATGCAAAGATGTCGCTGTTCTTCAAGAAACTATTCCAGTGGTGTTCCAGACCTGAAGGGCGCAAACAAGACTTTTCCGAGTAACCACGGAATGAATTCACTGAAGCTGCTATTGTCTCAAGAATTAACCACAGCAAAAATTTTTAGAGGCCATCCAGTGCGCCTTTACATTCCATTTTAGGGAAGTACAGAGTGACATTGTACTTTCTAAAGAAAAAAAAGACCTTCAATTTTCCTTGTGATACTTCATTTAGCAAGACCGACGATGTACTTGTTATTATTATTATATTGGTTTTATTGGCGCAAGGGCCATGTTTGGCCAAAGAGCGCCATAAAAATTATAAAAGTGTAATAATTGTCAGTGTATAACAATGGTATTTAGGGATGTGAGCAATGATAATGTTACGTGGCTGTATAGTGGCCTAATAGATACTAAAATCATGAGCATGACGTGGCACTTGAAGTGAGGATGAATGATAGACGGTCATAGTAATAAAATCATAAAAGGATAATAGCACAACTGCCTTGTCAACGACCCTTGTGTCCAAGGGACGCCAGGCAGGTGCTTTTTTAATGTAGTTACCGCAGCAGCAACCTCCACTTGGAGGTCGTGCTACGGATTTCCTGGAAATATGACATGAAAATTATTTATATCTTTTAAAAATGCGAGCAATGATTTGTGCTTAAAAACAGGCTCTTTACCTATAAACATTGACGGATGCAGTGGCATTTGATGTCGGTGAAGAAGTAGAAAGTGTTTTTGTCTAAGAGCATCCAATTCCTTGCATTCAATTAAAATATGAAGAACGCTGAGTGGGTCACCACATCTGTCACACACGGGAGGATCACCACCAGACAAAAGGTGTGAATGAGTGCTATGGGTGTGTCCTATTTGTAGTCTTGTGAGTATTACTTGAGTGTGGCGTGACCTTGATATTGACGGCCAAGTTCCAAGGCTCGGTTTGATAACATGTAATTTATTTCGCGTTTGCTTATCCCATGAAAGCTGCCAGTGCGCCCTGAGCTTCTGTTTTACGAATTGTTTGAGTTCTAACGCAGAGACAGCCATAGATGCATTAGTGTTAGCGTTGTCCTTAGCTGAGGCAGCCAGTTGGTCCGCTAACACATTTCCCCGGATTTCGCGGTGCCCTGGCACCCAGCACAATACAACTTGTTTTTTGAGCGAGTATATGGTGCACAGAAGAGAGTAAAGCATCAAAAAAACAGGATTTTTATGTTTTTTGAGGGTCTTCAAAGCTTTTATGACACTCAGAGAGTCGGTGAATATTATCGCACGTTGTAGCTTTAGTTCCTTTATATGTTTAGCGGCCACAAGTATAGCATAGGCCTCCGCTGTGAATATGCTTGAATTAGGGTGGAGAATGCCAGAATCTGAAAAGGATGGACCAACGGCAGCATAGGACACGCCACTATCAGACTTGGAAGCATCCGTAAAGAATTCAGGACAGTTGTATTTGTGCTGCAATTCGAGAAAGTGAGTGTGTATATGTGCTATAGGCGCATGCTTCGTAACTTCAACAAATGATGTATCACAGTCTATGGGCTGCCACTGCCACGGCGGCAGACATGGAACGGGAGCCATCAGACTGTGTTCAATAAGTGGCACACCCGTTTGTTCAGCGAGGCTCCTCACACGAAGTGAGTAAGGCTGTTGAAACGAAGGACGGTTCTCGAAGAGCGTACAACTTGACAAGTCATTGATAGTCGTGTGTGAAGGGTGTTCTTTGTCTGCGTTCGTTTTTAAATAGTATATAAAAGACATGTATGTTCTTTGCAGGTGCAATGACCACTCATTGGATTCGACATACAAACTCTCCACGGGACTAGTGCGAAAAGCTCCCGTAGACAGACGGATGCCCAAATGGTGGACTGGGTCAAGCATTTTCAGAGCACTTGGGGTGGCAGACTGATATATTATTGCCCCATAATCCAGGCGCGTTCGAACGAGGCTTTTGTAGAGATTGATCAAACAATTTCGGTCACTCCCCCATGATGTGCGTGAGAGTACTTTCAGAATGTTCATTGTTTTTATACATTTGTTTTTAATATACTTGATGTGTGATGTAAATGTGAGTTTAGAATCCAAAATTAGGCCTAGAAATTTATGCTCGGCCTCTACAGGTAACCGCTGGCCAAGCAAGTCAATTTCGGGATTTGGGTGGAGGCCTCTCTTTCTAGAAAAGAGCACACAGGTGCTCTTCTCTGGACTTAACCTGAACCCGTTTTGGTCAGCCCACTTGGATACTTTGTTCAGACAAAGCTGGACGTGCCGCTCACACACTGCAAGATTACATGACCTAAAGCCTACCTGGATATCATCCACATACATTGAATAGAATGTGTTATGTGGAATGCAGAGTCGTAATGAATTCATTTTTATAATAAAGAGGGTGCAGCTCAGGACACCACCCTGGGGTACTCCCGTTTCTTGAATAAACGGCCTGGACAAGACATTCCCAATACGAACACGGAATGTTCGCTCGGATAAGTAGCTCTTTATGATATTCAACATATTGCCATGAATACCAATGTCTGACAGATCTCTAAGGATGCCGTAGCGCCATGTGGTGTCATATGCTTTTTCCATGTCAAGAAACACACAGAGACAGTACTGTTTGTGGATGAACGCATCGCGTATGTATGCTTCAATGCGTATGAGATGGTCTGTAGTAGATCGGTCCTCTCTAAAACCACATTGAAAGGGGTCAAGAAGTTTGTTGGTTTCTAGAAAATGCATAAGTCTTTTGTTTATCATTTTCTCGAACACCTTGCACAGGCAGCTCGTAAGGGCTATTGGACGGTAACTTGTAACTGAAGAGGGGTCCTTGCCTTCCTTTAGAATAGGAACAACAATGGCCTCCCTCCACGTAGACGGCAGGTACCCAGCAGCCCAGATAGTGTTATACAGAGCAAGTAAACTGATTTCGGTGTCATCGTGAAGGTGTTTGAGCATGTCATACATAATTCTGTCTGGTCCCGGCGCTGTGCTGTGGCACGCATTGAGGGCCGTCCTAAGTTCGGCAATTTTAAATGGAGTATTATACTGTTCGTTTGTTTTGGACTTCAACTCTAGTGTTTCCGTTCTGTCATTTCTTTATGTTTTAAGAAAGATTTTGAGTAGTGCGCAGAACTGGAAATGCGCTCAAAGTGCTTGCCAAGGCTGTTGGCCTGGTCCTCCAGTGTGTTCCCTTGACTCACTAAAGGCAGAGGATATGCTTGCTGCCCCTTAAGACTTCTGAGGCTGCTCCAGACTTTCTTTTCATTGGTGTAGGAGTTAATGCCGGAGAGAAACTTGACCCAACTCTCCCTTCTTGCCTGACGTCGTGTTCGCCTACCCAGTGATTTCACTTTTTTAAATTCGACGAGGTTTTCTGCGTTTGGATATCGGCGCAGGATGCCCCAGGCTTTATTTTGTTTCCTACGCGCTTCTCTACAGTCATCGTTCCACCAGGGAACACGTCGTTTACACGAGTGCCCATTTGTTTGCGGGATACACTTTTCAGCAGCATCCAGAATAAACGCACTGAAGAATGCTACTGCGCAATCAATGTCACAATTTGTGATAAAGTCACGAGGTAAAAGTGTCAATTCTTGAAATTTCTCCCAGTCAGCGGATGCTATTTTCCATTTGGGAATATGAGGAGGAACCTCATGCGATAATGTCAAGTTTAACATAGCAGGAAAGTGGTCACTGCCGTACGAATTCATGACCACGTTCCATTCTAACTCGGTAAAGAGAGAGGGGGAACCAAGCGCCAAGTCTATCGATGAGTATGAGTTGTGATGAATGTTGTAATAGGTAGGCTGTTTTTTATTGAAGAGGCATGCTCCGGAGCACAGGAGGAATTGCTCTATCAGTCGGCCTCTCGCATCGCACCGGGCATCCCCCCACAGAGTGTTGTGAGCATTGAGATCACCAACAACAATGTAGGGTGCCGGCAGCTGGTCAATGAGGTGATGAAAATCTGTGCGGTTAAGTTTGTAGCTTGGTGGTATGTATAGTGAACACACAGTGACTAGTTTGTCAAATAGAATGACGCGGACTGACACTGCTTCGAGTGCCGTCTGAAGAATAAGAGGTCGGCAAGGCACGGATTTTGTACTATTATAGCTACACCGCCGGATGAAGCAGTTGCCTCATCCCGATCCTTGCGGAACACGGCATATTGTCTAAGAAAGTTTGTTTGAGATGGCTTCAGATGTGTCTCTTGGATGCACAGCACCTTGGGATTGTGTTTATGTAAAAGTTCTGTAATGTCATCAAGATTGTGGAGAAGACCCCTAGCATTCCAGTGCATTATTTGTGTAGCCATTTTGAGTGAGTTTTTGTGCTGTGCGTCGAAGTAGACAACCTTAGCTTAGGAGGCCTTTTCAGGCCCCCTAATGCGTGGTTTTTCTTTTTTGGCAGGCTCCTTAGAGCCACGCCAATCTTTCGGCGTCTGAGGCGCCGATACACTTTGTGTTGTGTCCATCATCTCGGAAGAGACGCTGGACGCCCGCTCGCGGTGCCCGCGTGCGGTTGTGAGAGACTTCGGGCCCTCTGCCTTGGCAGGTGGCCCGAAAACTGCAGACCCAGAGGCCTGCATGGCTGTTTGGCTGGTGGTGGTGTCCATTGCCTCCTGCGAGGCACTGGACACCCGCTCCAAAGAGCGATCTGTGTGTAGCGTAGACTTCGCCTCAGTCGACGAAGTCTTTGACCCCACCGGGCAAGAGGTTGTTGGGACCTCCTTGGCCTCCTTGTTGCCCTGGCTGCTGCCAGGGCTTGCAGAGGCCACCGGTGTGGACTGGTTTGCTGCGGGCAGGGCAGCGCTGGCTGTTCCCGCCAGAGGGGCAGGTGGCTCTGACCTGGCCACGCTAGGCATGGTCCAGGTAGCCACCAAGGGCCGTTGTGGTGCCGCCCCTCGTTGCACCACTTCAGCGAAGGAGGCTCTTAGTGCGAATGAAGGTGAAACTCTCTGTCGTGCTTCACGGAACGTTATATTTTCGTTAACTTTTATGGTGATAATTTCTTTTTCTCTCTTCCAGGCTGGGCACGCTCTGGAATATGCGGCATGGCTGCCTTTGCAGTTTGCACAGTGTACCTCATCGTTTTGGCACTTATCAGTTTCGTGACCTGTTATGCCGCATTTGCCACAAGTCAGCTGACCTCGGCAGGTCTGAGATCCGTGTCCAAATCGCTGGCATTTAAAACAACGTCTCGGGTTAGGAACATACGGTCGCACAGAAAGTTTTACGTAGCCGGTCTCGATTGTTTTAGGTAGGATGTTTGAATTGAATGTAAGTATTAGGTGCTTTGTTGCGGTTTCAGTGTTGTTGCGTCTGATTTTTATGCGCTGCACATGTAATATGCCTTGGTCTTTCCATCCGTCTAGGAGTTCCTCTTCACTTAGTGTCTTAAGGTCTTCATCGGATACTACGCCCTTCACTGTGTTCATGGTACGATGTGCAGTAACTGATACAGGGATATTGCCAAAGGCTACGAGGTGTGAGAGTTTGTCGTACTGTTCCTTGTCTTTTAGTTCGAGGAGAATGTCCCCACTTGCCATCTTTGAGGCCTTATAGCCGGTTCCAATGGTGTCTTTAAGGCACTTGGCCACTAGAAAAGGTGATATTGCTCTGGCTTTGGTTGATGATTGCTCGCAGTGAAGGACATGGTATTTTGGAAATGTTTCAACGTTTTGAGGGAAAAACAAAGATGATGCATCGGTGCGTACTCTTTTCGGAGCACGATCAGTTACAGGGGGGTTTTGAGGTCCCATGAAAAATTGGCTTCTTCGGCATCGGCGCCTACCACCCACCACGGAGCCCAACAAGGGGACGCGGCAGAACATGTGAACAAGCCTGCCCTTCGCCAGCAGTACGCCGTTGCTATAACCGAATATGGTTTATCCTAGGCAGGATAGCCACACAAGGTTAACCCTTGCCGCCATGAAAAATCGGAAGTAAATGGAAGAGAGAAGAAGACAGGACAGATTTAAAGACGAGAAAAGACTAAGATATAGGAAGAGAGAGATAGGAAAAGGCGACTGCCGATTTCCCCTGGGTGGGTCAGCCCAGGGGTGCCGTCTACGTGAAGCCGGGGCCAAAGGGGTGTGTTGCCTCTGCCGGGGGGCCTTAAAGGTCCAATCACCCAGCGTCAGCTCAACCCCCAGGATCCCCTTTTCCCCGGACACGGCAAAGCCACGCACGGCTAGGCGTGGGAGGGAGCCGAAACTCCCCCGTTAGCTCGGGTCCGTGGTGTCGCTACACACCAAACGCCTACTTGCGCAGGCGCCCCTGCGGGGCCGACGATGTACTTGAACGTTTTTTGACACAGCGCAGGTATACATGGACTCTAGAGAAAAAGGGACAAATGTGGCCACGTAGTCGTGCGCTATGTTAAAATATGTGCAAGTACTGTCACCAACTGGCCCAGCTTCCAGTTCTTTTATGTACATGTGCTTATTTGCGGACGTCCCATTATTACAGACCTACCCAGTATGATGCACCTTTTCTGCGTAATTTTGATACAATAGCTTTGTACATGTTTCTGCTTTTCTTGCATGATCATCTACTAATGCAACCATCAGCCAAGGAGGTAGAGACCACAAGAGCGCACAGAAAGGGTTTGAGCATGCGCATATGTGGTCATACTGGTGTCACACGGGCACTTTTATTTGCAATCAGCTGAGGCATCTGCGCCAAACTCGATCCGGCGCCTGCATATATACCGCGCAGCAGCGACAGACCTGTCAATCACGATGTAAATTATTCGAGTGACTGCTCACCACTATCTGCCCAAACTAA